TTATTTAGTTCTTCATATAAATGTGCCATTCTGATGCTTCTTTGGCGTATTCCTTGTCATATTTTTATGAACATACAATGGAAGTGACTGAATCTTTTTCTTGGAAGCTGTGCTAGAATTGCTTCTATCAGATACTGAATTTGTTTGCTATCTTACGCGGTAAAAAGAGCTAGACTAGTTTTTTCATTGATTCTAGAAAGCATGGAAAATGTTCTTACCTTTATTTGTTGATGGTGTATCACTGCATAGTCACAGTCATATAGAGATGGAATTGAACAATTAAATACCATAAAAATTAGGTTCAAACATAATTGTTTGTGCTGGACTGATAGATCTCAGCTATTGTTTCAAATACAATTAGGATTTTTCCTTTGATGGACACATAAGATAAAATCCTTTTCTGAATGTAGAAGGGGAATTAGAGTTATCTAAATGTATTACAAACCTATCTTTTTGTAGTTCAATCTGAAGTAATTCCTGCATAGTGTTTTTTAAAAGATTTAAATTAGATTTTCAAAATATGAAAGAAATTGCAATGTGTGTTTGCTTTAGATTAAGTATATACAATTTGATTTCAAATAGCAAGGTAATTTAAATAATGATCTAGTTGCTGAGAAGTTATATCTTCAGGAGTCAGGGCTCCCAGTACTTTGTTTTTTTCTAAACTTGAGTCTGTCTTTCCAACAGGTAATGTAGTCTTCTGAGATTTGTCTTGAAGTAAGATTTGAGTTGTCTTGAAACTCAGATTTTTCCTGAAATGTATTTATTCTGATCTGATCCTTGCTGTAAGTTCAGATAATGTGTCGTCTTCCCTGTAGCTATATCTGAAAGCTCTAGAACCTTCCTTCATTCTCCCCTTTCTAACAGACAAAAAGTCTCCAACATGTTGCCATACACATTATTTTGTACTTCAGAAATGCCATTTGATGCATTTTTATCCCAAGACAATAACTGTCCATGTGTGTGCGTGTTATTTTTTTGTTTGTTTGGAGCTTAGTTTTTCTGTTAATGTTGTTTCTTCTAGTTTATAATATAGCAAAAGCAAAGTTCAGTCAACACTTATGTTGCTGTAGTGTTTCTTCTGCTGTGGTGGATTTGATTGAGTCAGACTTTCTCTTACTTGACAAATGAAATTAAGACCAGCAGGTCTCAATAGAGGGAGTTTTTTGAAAGTGTGGGGACCTGCTTTATAAAATTAGGAGGTGAACAATCTTGCTTAAGTAGCTGGAACAGGTAAGCTGATTCATCAGTTTCTTCCTCAGATTTTGTTTTGCTGTCTTCATTTTATATTATTGTCCAATCTGAAGTATCCACCTAAGACAAAAGCCAGCAGTGAATGACACAAGTGCTGACGGTCTCTAATCGGAGTAAGAATTTTTAGCAACTTGGCTCCACAAAGTAGTGGACTATATAGCATCTGGTAGAATGTTCATTTGTGTTTTCAGGTGCACTACAATGTTGGCAAAAACCTGGCTGACAAAGGAAATCAAAGTGCTGCAATCAAATACTACAGAGAAGCTGTAAGGTATTAGAAACTTTACTGCTTAAATGAACTATCCTAAAATTGCTTTTGTATTTAACATGAAGAAAATGCTTAGTTATTAATTTTCATGGTCTGCAGCATGCAGAGCTAGCAATTTGCATATAGTAATACACATGCCATACATAATAATCATCTCTTTAATTTTTTATTTCAGGTTGAATCCTAAATATGTACATGCCATGAACAATCTCGGAAATATTCTGAAAGAAAGAAATGAGCTCCAAGAAGCAGAGGAGTTGCTGTCCCTAGCTGTACAAATACAGTATGTTTAGAACCATACTAAGCAGTGTTTTGCACCAACTGAGCAGAAATGATAAAATAGAATCTTGTGTTCCAAATGCTCAGTAGTCCTCTCAACTTTTTTTTTCCCAATTTGCCCAGACCAGATTTTGCTGCTGCATGGATGAATCTAGGAATAGTACAGAATAGTTTAAGAAGGTTTGAAGAGGCAGAACAAAGCTACTGGACAGCAATTAAACACCGGAAAAAATATCCAGATTGTTACTACAATTTAGGGCGGTTGGTAAGTGATTTTGAATAAATAATAGCTATGACAGTAATGTCTGTGTGTATGTTTATATACATATACATAAACATATAAAATTCTGCTGTACTGTTAAATGCTGATAGTTATTCCAGTTTGTTTGATTTTGTGGTTTGTGATGATTTCAAATTTTTGGTATTTTTCCTATTGCTTTCCCTTGTATACTTCCTTCCATACAACCTTCGTAGTCTGACTTTTTCATATAAAGAAAAATAGAAATTTTGGTCTTTTTTTCAAAAGATATTAGTCATTTCCCAATGTTAGACTGTTTTGCAGTCAGTATGTTGTTAGGTTGTAGAACTATGCCAAAAAAATCCTGTTTAGTTTCTTAGAAATGTTTATATTAAATATTTACTTACCTTGTTATGTAGGTTTCTAAACTGTATGCCAGTTTTCCTCCTGGGTCCCAGAGAAAGGCTGGATAAAATTACTATATGGTACTCTGTCTTCCATACTATCCTAGAATTGTTTTTACATTTCTTATTTTTCTCTATAAAAACAAATTCTACTAGAATGGAATGAAGCATTAACAACTCTTCAGTGTTAGGGAAGTAAAGTAAATCAGGGTGAAATTACTGAGTTTTTCTTTCTTTTTAGTATGCAGATTTGAATCGCCATATAGATGCATTGAATGCATGGAGAAATGCTACAGTTCTGAAACCAGAGCATAGTTTGGCTTGGAACAATATGATTATATTGCTTGATAACACAGGTATAAACCCATTTGAAAGTTTTAATGAATAATTCAGTGTCTTGCAAAACTTAAAGCTTTTCTGTATTCACCTAAAAGGAGTTCTGCCTCTTCTTTGACACCCAGACACTCTCCATAATCATCAGAATACCTTCTCACTCAGTGGTTTTAAAGCATTGCTTCAAATGCAGCCTATAATTGAACTTCCGATCCTTATTTGAAATGCCACTATTATGCAAGCGTGTTTGAATTACAGACCAGCAGAGTTCAGACCTTTTGAATCTGTGCTTTGTTGTTCTTCTGATGGTGTGGTTTGCTGGAAACAAAATGGAGGTTTTCTATTGTCTTATTTTGCAGGATTTTCCATTCATGTGTGTGTGATAACCTGGTTTTCTTTTAAAACGCATGTAATCAGCTGTTCATACAATGTGTGTGCTTGCAGCATGAAAAGTGACTAATGAGGCTGTGTTAAGAGATGCCTTCTCTTTTTCCACTACATTGGCTCCCAGGCAATCTAGCTCAAGCAGAAGCAGTTGGAAGAGAGGCCCTGGAATTGATACCTAATGATCATTCCCTTATGTTTTCATTGGCGAATGTACTGGGGAAATCACAAAAATATAAGGTAGGTCATGAGCTTTCCAAGTATTGTTTGTGTTTTGGTTCAGGCTTTTTCCTGTTTAAACTCTGTGTAAGTTACTGTAGAAAGTGTTAGAGGAGACCATTGTGGACTATGACTTAGATAACCAGGTTTCAGTGCTCATGTCTGTCACAGTATAGCTGTGTGATTCTAGCCTAATTTCATCCCACCTTACATTAGATGCTTACTTTAGAAGTGTTACTGCCCTGAACTATGTCAGTGGTCAGTGGAGAGAAATGGGCTCTTAAGCACACTAGAGGGCAGTTAAGAGTCTTGTGTCGCTTAACACACTGCCCACAGAGAAAGCCTGCTCTGATTTAGAGGCCTTGGTTCAGGAGCTAAAATGAAATGCGATATGCTAGTCCTGCTTTTTCTACGTAAAGGAAGCAAGGTTTAACATTACCCCATATGAATTCTAGCCTCTTTGCCTCATATCTAGAATAGAGACGTGATAGATTTGCTAATCCTGGATTGAGGATGGGAAATCTCAGTAGTCCCAAAATATTATGAGGAAAAAGTCCATACATTGAGCAACATATTGAACTTTCTCTTGGATGCAGTGGAACAGCCTGCAAGTGGTACTTCAGCATTAGTTAACTTGTATTTCAAGTAATAAGTGTAACGGAACTGATGAGAGAGAGAGTTATTTTCCAAAGGGAATTGTAAGAGTTGACAGAGAATAAATCTTGCAAGGTTAATATATTTGATTGTTTTAATTGACTTCATAGTCACTGATTTATGTATGTGATAGGGACAAATTTAGAAAGTTTTTTGTTATTCCTCAGAAAACCGTCATTTACTGAACTATGGCTTTTGGGGGGAAGGAGGGGTTGATGGCTTTTTGATAGTGATAATGTTAGCAGCATGAAGTAACATCCTCAGTATATGCCAAGTAATAAGATTTTGTGATGATAAACTTCTCCAAATATACATGTTTTTCCATCATTTACTGTGTCCACTTAAACTTCTACAGTCCTGTTCAGCTGTGGAAGCATGACTGGTTCACATGTGAAGCCAGGGCCTGTGATAACCCAGCACTTGCTTTTTTGTGTGTTAACGATGTGGTTAGACAGCCCCCATTGCTGTTTCTTTAGACTGGCTGGAGTTTTTTCTGTACACTCTTGCCACCTGAGAGAGACTTTTCCAGGTGTAGGAGAAACAGATATGTTTTAGTGGATTTGAAAAATAAGAGGAGGTAGTGATTTTGATTGCTAGCTCTGAAAGGTTGTTGTGCTGCAGGGGAATGTGCTGGAGACAAAGCAGAAATTATAGCAGGGGGAAATGAAGCTTTCAAGTCAGCATCCTGAATATAGCAAAAGGAGCAGGGAAGAAAGCAGGGAGACAGTGAGTTCAATAGTTAATAGTTCAATATGGAGTAGTATGTTTGCATAGAACAAAAAAACGTAATTAGTAACTTGAAATTGAAAGTTTATAACAGGGAGAGCAAATTAAGGGAAATGGAAAGTGGACTCACTTAGAACAGGTTATGATTTCATCAGCTGTATTTTGCATCACTTGTAAAGAGGAGATGCAGTTTCTTTAAGTGGAGGAATGCTAAATGACTAAAAAGCATGGGAAAATCAGATTTATTTTTTTTTTGTCTACCACCTCATCATGTAAAAGCAAAGAGAAGTGGGTGGATCTTTAAGGATTTTTATTGAGTGTTCAGGATGGAAAGGGAAGAGGCAGGGACGGAGACTCTCAAGGTGATGGAAATAATGTTCAGAGGAATTGCCTGGCTGTGTCTGGTGTGTTGTATAACCTCAGGCATTTCATTTATTAAATTACTTGTTATGTGTCTGTACAAAATTTGCTATTTTATTGGTTCTGTTGCCATAAAGTAAGATTTGTTTTGGGTTTTTTATGTTATCTTGTCTTAAAAGACACTGAGTCAAAAAGGTTTTACTATGTTATGAGAGATTTCCTTCCAATAAACACACAATATTCTTCAGTTTCAAATGCACTTTGATTTTCAGCAGAAGTTCTTTTCCTAAGTGATCAAAAAACCCTCAACCCTTTATGGCTTCTGTTTGTGTCTACTCATGAATGATTTATTGTTCCAGAAAAAAAAGCACATCAAGGATGAGCTGTCTTCGTGGTTTTGTTTTATTTTTTGATTAACAACTGTTATATTGTTACGTCCCACACCGTGGGCACCAGAGGTGGGGCCTGAATTAAATATCACGTCCCACAAGGTGGGTACTGCACCTCCCACAAAGTGGGCATGGCTAGAGTTCCCCAGAAATGGGAGTCGACCCAGGGAGATTCGGACTGGACCCCCTTGCTTTCTAAAGTCCTTCTCAGGACTAGGTGTGACTGGATCCAATCCTCCTCTCTTAATTACTCTCTTTTAGCAACTCATTTGGCAAGATTAACCTCTGGAATTCTCTGCATGGTATTCTAAGAGTACGACCATCACCCAGGAGGCTTACACAAAACATTACTTAAAACTGGCACCTGGCCACACCTCTCCTGGTGACACTTGGCCTACTTTATACAGACTCACTGTTGGATTGGGGAATGTTAGGAAAATGAGTTGGTAGGGCATGGGGTCCAGCTGATCACTTGGCCCCCGCAGTCAGATTGACCAAGCAATGACTTTATTTTCACATATGTGCTGTGTCCTTAAACAGGAAAGTGGTCTTTTGCAAGATGGCACTGTGCCTCCACAAAGCTCCTCTTGCTGGCCACTGCTCCTTATCAAGTGTCCTTACTTTGTCAGGTGTTTTCTGAATGAGGGGCTCTCCTTGTGAGAACAGCATCGGGGCGGCTTATCAAATGAGGGTCCCACCTGAGCACAATGTCCAGTTTGTCAGGGCAGCCATTCTGAAACAGAAATGCAGGGGGATGACCTGCTGGAGAGCAGTGTAGGTGAAAGGGACCTGGGGGTCCTGGTGGACAGGAAGATGACCATGAGCCAGCAATGTACGCTTGTGGCTAAGAAGGCCAGTGGCATCCTGGGGTGCATTAGAAAGGGTGTAGTTAGTCGATCAAGAGAGGTTCTCCTCCCCCTCTATTCTGCTTTTGTGAGGCTGCATCTGGAATATTGTGTCCAGTTCTGGGCCCCTCAGTTCAAGAAGGACAGGGAACTTCTTGGAAGAGCCACAAAGATGATGAAGGGAGTGGAACATCTCCCTTATGAGGAAAGGCTGAGGGAGCTGGGTCTCTTCAGCTTGGAGAAAAGGAGACTGAGGGGTGACCTCATCAATGTTTACAAATATGTAAAGGGTGAGTGTCAGGAAGATGGAGTTAAGCTTTTTTCAGTGATGACCAGTGATAGGACAAGAGATAATGGATGCAACCTGGAACATAGGAGGTTCCATATGAATATCAGAAAAAACTTCTTTACTGTGATAGTGACAGAGCACTGGAACAGGCTGCCCAGAGAGGTTGTGGAGTCTCCTTCACTGGAGACATTCAAAACCCGCCTGGACGCTTTCCTGTGTGATGTGCTCTGGCAGAGGGGTTGGACTAGATAATCTTTTGAGGTCCCTTCGAACCCCTAGGATTCTGTGATTCTGTGAGACAATTACTCATTTCGGGACTCTACATATACCAAGTTAGAGTTGTCCTTTGAATGCTTGTTTTTGTTGCAATGGATGAAGGATCTAGCTATCTTTAGATCTTTCAAAATATGTGTGCTGTTTTTTTATGTATACGTCTGTGCTTTTTTGCAAAACCTACAAGAAATCAAAACCATTCAGCATTTTTTGTATTTGGAGTAAAGCTAGGCTTTTTGTGCTCTTGCCTTGGCCTGAAGATGGAATGCAGTGTGCTTACCCAAAGCCTCTGCTATATGCAGTGGGCAAGTTTCTTGGCAACACTTAAATGTTTGGCAAGATAGAGCAATTTGAAGTATCACTGGATGTACTGGAATGCATATTTACTCTATATATCTACACTAATATGAATATGATGGACCTTAAATAGCCTTTAATCAGCCAGTATGCTTCTACTAGCTGCTGAGCAAAGCAGTGCTGATTAAAATGTTTTCAGCGTGTAGTTGAAGATCTATGGTAATGGCAGCCAACTCTTGAGAATCTATTTCACTACATTTTCTGGGAAATCATTGTCAGTGTTGCCCATCTTGCTTCAAAAATAAAAGGATGAATCCATACATTAGGTGCTTCTGCTTTGTGTAGGTGGCAACTTTTAGGCTTAAACTGAATTAATTGGACTGGACATCTTTCACTTTGATTCCTGTTAACCTGTCCAGTGAAGAAAGCAGGAATTTACTTTTTAGGCCAAAATACTAAAATTTGCAGTGGAAGAAATACACCTTTTGGGGACTTCTGCCTATTGAGTGCTTTCAAGTGCCAATCCACTTTTTAGAGTTGGATGGTTTTGCAAAAAGAGGAGGTATCTTGCAACACCACTAGACTTGCCAAATGTTTGCGTTTCAGAATGTTTGGCAGGTAACTGAGTTAGAATCATAGAATAATTTTGACTAGAAGGGATGTCCAGAAGTCATTTAATCCAACTCCTGACCCAAACCAGGGCAATCTCCAGTTGAATCTCGAACGCCTCCATGGATGGAGATTCTAAACCCTATCAGGACAGCGTATTGCAGTGTTTGACCTACCTTATGTTTAAAAAAAGATAAAGTTGTTTCCTTCTATCCAATTGGAATTTCCCTTATGTCAGCTTGCATCCATTGTGTCTCATCCTGTCTCACAGACTTGTGAGAAGTGTCTGTCTCCATCTTCTCTGTACCATCTGGTCAGGTACTTGTAGATAGCAATAAGGCTGCCCCTTCATCATCTTATCTGATGAAGGCTGAAGAGATTCAGATCTGTCAGCTGCTGCTTGTATGTCTTGTGCTCCAGCACCCAACTGTCTTGGTGCCTCTCTGCTGGACTCACTAAAGTGTGTCCATGTCTGGCTTGTAATGGAGAACCCCAACCTGAACACATACTTGAGATGTGATCTCAAAAGTGCTTAATAGAGGGGAAAGATTGCTTCACCAGACCTGCTGGCTGTAATTCATACAGCCCAGGATGTTGCTGGTCATCTTTGCTGTGAGGGTATGCTGATCACTTGTATTCAATTTGCTGTCTACCAGGCCCACTAGATCCAATTCAGCAGAGGTGTTTCCTAGACTGGCCCCCTGCCTGTACTTTTGCATCCCAGCTACAGAACTTTGCATTTACTCTTGTTGAACTTACAAGATTCATCCAGTCCAATTCTGCTCAACATCCTCATTATTGATCTGGATGAGGGGGCACCCTCAGCAAGTTTGTGGATGATACAAAACTGGGAGGAGTGGCTGCTAGGCTGGGTTGTCATGCTGCCATCCAGAGGGACTTTCAGAAGCTGGAGAAATGGGCTAGTAGGAAACTCATCCAGTTCAACAAGGGCAAGTGCAAAGCCTTGCACATGAAGAGGAGCTGTTTCAAGCACAGTGTGTGCTGGGGCTACCAGCTGGAAAGCAGTTCGTTGGGAAAGAACCTGAGAGTCCTGGTAGACACCAGATTGATTGAACATGAGTTAGCGGTGTGACATTGTGGCAAAGAAAGCTAATGATATCCTGGGTTGTGTTAGGAGTGTTGCCAGCAGGTTGAAGGATGTGATCCTTCATCTCTACTGGTGATACCACACCTAGAATCCTGTGTCCAGTTTCCAGAAAGCCATAGACCTACTGGAAAAAGTCCAGTGAAGGGCTGTGAAGATGATGAAGGGACTGGAGCATATCTCCTGTGGGAAAAGGGTGAGAGAGCTGGGACTATTTAGCCTGGAGAAGAGAATCTCAGCAGGAGGATCTCAATGTATATAAATACCTGAATGTGCAAAGAGGATGGAGCCAGGCTTTTTTCAGTGGTATTGAGTGACAGGACAAGAAGCAATGGGCCAAACCAAAACATGGGATCTGAACATCAGGAAATGCTTTTTTTGCTGCTGCTGTGACCTGGCACAAATTGCTTGGAGAGATTGTGGAGTGCCCACTCTTGGTGATGCTGCCTGGGCATAATCCTGGGCAGCTGGCCCTGCTTAAGCAGGGAGGTTGGACCAGATGACCTCCAAAGATGCATTCAAACTTCAACCATTCTCTGATTCCTGCTAGTCCATTTCTCTGCCCTGTCCAGGTCTCTCTGAAGAGCAGCTCTTCCCTCCGCTGTATTGACCAGTCCCTCCTCTTAGGTACTATTTGTAAAGTTATTGAAAAAGCATCCAGGAGCATTAATACTCCAGGTATAAGAATGCTGGAGCTGCTGCTTATGCCAGGGAAAAGCAATGCTAAAACTTGCACTATGTAGTCATGTACTTCCTAAATTCTCAATCATTTGTTTCACTTGTTCACTCCTGTCCAAGTACTCCTTCTCCTGAAACAGGATGTCCTGCAAAAGGATTTGTCAGGGACTCTAGGATTTGTAATTTCCTTGACCTGCGAAGATAAAGGCACTTTCTGCATCAGTCTCTCTTGGCTTCAGAGCGGCAGCCTCAGCTGTGCTAAGGAATGCTTTGAAAGGAGCATGTTGTTTGAGTTTCCATTTAGACATACTGGGAAGCTCTTAAGTCACTCAAAGTTGAGTGACTCAATCTTGACATCAGAAATTTCTTGTCCCCTGAGGGACCCTTACAGAGACTTATTTCATGCTTCACATGAAAAGATGGCGGAACCAAAAATCTGGCTGACAGGTTTTCATTTTCAGTAGAGCCTGTATTCTGTTTTGTGGTTATAAGTAATAAAAGCTTAGCACAAAGGAAAGGCCTTTTCCTCAGGTTATTGTTCTCACATACCTCAGACAGTAAGTATGTGCATTCAGTTGGAAACCTACCCCACTGAGGTAATTTTATCTTCAGTTTTCCACTGAAACTGAATGGTCAACTTCCCCTAAAACACAACACAGCATAGAAACTGATGTAAAATTAACTCTTGAAATATCTAAACTTGCATCAAGCAAGCAAGCATTTTCATATAATATGCTGAGTTGGAAGGGACCCATCAGGATTATCGAGTCCAACTCCTGTCCCTGTGTAGGGCACCCGAAGAATCACACCATGTGCCTGAGAGCATCATCCAAATGCTTCTTGAATTCAGGCAGGCTTGGTGCTGTGACCACTGCCCTGAGGAGCTTGTTCCAGTGCTCAGCCACCCTCTGGGTGAAAAACCTTTTCCTGGTATCTAAGATAAACCTCCCCTGATTCAGCTTCCTGCCTTTTCCCTGAGTCCTGTCATTGGTCACAGGGGTGAAGAGATCAGTCCCTGCCCCATCTCTTCCCCTCCTGAGGAAGCCACAGACTGCAATGAGGTCACCCCTCAGCCTCCTTTTCTCCAAGCTGAATAATCCAAGTCACCTCAGCGGCTCCTCATAAAACATCCCATACAGACCCTTCACCATCCTCGTGCCTGTCCTTTGGACACTTTCCAATAGTTTGTCCTTTTTATCTTGTGGTGCCCAAAACTGCACGCAGTACTCAAGGTGAGGCCGCACCAGTGCAGAGTAGAGCGGGACAATCACCTCCCTTGACTGGCTGGCAACGCTCTGCTTGATGCACCTCAGGACACAGTTGGCCCTCCTGGCTGCTTTTTTCCATTTGGACTGGGGAGGATGTGTGTGTCTTTTTAAACTTCTGCAGGAAGTATGCTTGGAAACAAAAGTATCTCTATTAACAGCTAGTTTTGGAAAACAGAAATGTCTGAATTAGAGAATAAATTTTGCAGTAAGTTGTTATCTCAATATTTGGTGAGGGAGCTCAGCTTTTTTAAGAGGTACTCAAATATCAACTGCCTAAGAGTACACACCAGAAGTGTGAATTTGGAAAAGATAACTTGTGAGGAAATGTGAGCAAGATCTCTTTTGGCTTGATTTTTCAAGTAGCAGGAACTCAGCAATCTTTGTTGAGAACCATGTCAAAACATCTGTTTGAAAGACATTTACTGGAATGTCCCCATTTCAAATGCTAAAACTATTTTTAAGGGAAAGGTGTCTAAAAGTAGTTTGTTTGAATACTGAATTATATTATCCCTAACTTGATTGAACAAGTAGGGAAGTCTTTGGTAGGTAATGTCCAAAAATACTGTAACTATGCAAAACAAACAGAAGTAAACTGCTTTGCAAACTTCACTATTGCTTAATAGCTCTCTGCTAAAATAACCGCAGCCTGTGAAAGCATGGCACTTATTTCTTGTATTATTGATGTTTTCTGGAGGCTGAAGCCAACAAAACTACAGGACCACATAGGCTTAGAATACATATACGCTGGTATCATACAGATATGGCATCGTTTGGGAGGGTTTTTAATTACAATTGGGGGTCGATTTTGCTTTATTTTATATACTGTCTATTTTATAGACTGTCCTATTGACTTGTTCTTCTAAATTATTCAGGAATCTGAAGCTTTATTCCTCAAGGCAATCAAAGCCAATCCAAATGCTGCCAGTTATCATGGTAATTTGGGTAAGAGCTTTTCTAACTCTTATCAGCTGTATTGTTTGTTTGCTTCGTATTCATTGTGTTTAAAAAGAAAAAGCAAGCATTGGAGCCTTCTTCCTGCTGGGCAGATTTCTATTTTACTTCCTAGAAAAACTGCCAGCCAGAAGAACAGGGCACTAAACCAGAAAAGCTGTCACACAATATGACAGATCAAAAGTGCTGCTTAGTCCAGCCCAGAGGTAGCTGCACTTCAGTGTCTGCAAATTGGTTCATTTATGCTGTGCTTGTAACCCACAATGAGCTCACCAGATAAGAGCTGCCATTTATGGCTGCAATGTAATTCATTCCTTCATCATTCCCATGCCAGTTCTGCTCCCAGGCTTTGCTCCTGGCAACAGAACAAGCAGTTACTGTGCCACCAGCCAGCAAGAGACCCTCACTGGAAACAAATGCTTTAATGTTGTTTTCCAAGCGATGGGCAGGATTGCACATTATTCAGCGATATTGCTAATGAAATTCCTCATTGATGTTCCAGCTGTGCTTTATCATCGCTGGGGAAATCTTGACTTGGCAAAGAAGCACTATGAAGTTTCTCTGAAGCTTGATCCGATGGCACCCGGGACCAAGGAAAACTACAGCCTCCTAAGAAGAAAACTGGAGCAATTGCAAAAGAAAGGCGGTGCCTGATGTTTCTTTTCAGGTTGTCCGTGCATGCTGTTTATGATTAATGTTACATGGGTACTTTTGACCATGTAAAGGATTCAGTCATTATTTCTCAAAAATAATAACACCACCAGCACTGCACACTTGAATGTCCAATTATGCCCTCCTACAGATCCTAACATTTCAGCAGCACTTTGGGGGATCATTTTATTTTTACTCTTGAACTGCTATTAAAGTCCCTTAGAACATTTTTATAGGTATATGAAAGCAATGCAGATGGAATTTTCACAGCTTTCACTTGTAATTTGAGATTTTCATTTGACTTTTTAGTGGCAGAATGAATATCGGAAGGCAGTTTTATTTCTGAAAGTGATTCTAAAAAAAAAGTGCAATTTCCTGTTTAAATCCTGATCTTTTCAAGTAGAAAAAATATCTGTCCGCTTCAGTTTTATTACTGCCTTCTACTGCCAGTCCTGCAGAACTAGTGGAAAAATTAATTCTCTCCAGCACATCAGTCTACACTTGAAATTTGAGTTCTGCCCTTGTTCTTGTTTCTGGCTCCACCTTTCAAAGTGCTGGACTGGTACAGAAGTAAATAAGGACAAGGATCTGGCCATAAATATTTGCCAGGCAGTGTAGTGCTGAGGTATGCTCCAATTTTCTCCATTTGAAGTGGAGAAAATACTCTTAGATTAAGACAGATTTTAGCAAGCAGCAGAGGAAAAAAGTGGGAGGTGACAGAGAAGTCAGTTGGAGTTTCTGTTCTTGCAGGCAGCCTCATCTAGCATAGGTAACTTGGACAACAAGTCAGAATTGCTTTAGCTCCTGCCACAGGTCAGTGGTCTCAATTCATTATAGCATCTCCAGGAGCTATTTCCTGTGTTCTCAGGCTTTTCGGTCCTTTCTGGTTAAGGACATTACACCTTTCCGCTCCTGTAGTGTTGGTGAATACAGAGAGGGCAGATCACCTGACCTTGGTTGTTGATGTATTAACTGGAAGGAACTCCCACTCACCTTTATCTCCTGTGGCTCATGTTTGCTGAAGCGGCAGGTAAATAAACATAGCTGTTAATGCATAAACTGGTCACATTGATGTGGGATGACTGGGAGATGGTACACATTGATACAATGTCACTTTTCAAAACGTGCTATGCTTTAATACATGTTTAAACTCTTGACTGTCCAGAGGTGTTTGTCTTGTGCTGATACTTACATTTCTACTTCAGGAATGAGTCACATGTCTATTTATTTGTTGTTTTGTTTGTATTTGGGTTTTTTTTAAGACTGAAAGATTGCTATTGGATGTAAAAACTGAGGAATGTTACCTCTCTTTTCATATTCCTTTATCTTGTCCCTCTGTTCCCCTCTTGTAGGAAAAAAAAAAAAATCAATGAAGTATTTGCAGCTTTCCTAATTTATCCAATGATTATTGTATAGAGATTGTGGGATGTTCTCCATACACAGATCACCTATGTGTCAAACTGTTTGAAGTATAGAGGGAGTGCCTGCTGTAGGTCAGGTTGTTATGTGACCTTGACATCTGGCCATCATGTAACCTTATTACATCTATACTAACTTTAAGTTGGGCTACTTTTACATGATAAATTTGCTTAGAAATGACAATTGTTCTTGAAAGTTGCTTCAAGAATGAAGTGTCTCCAGAACATTGCAATACTGCTGAGCTGCCAAAGCATCTTCTTGACAAAGACAGTTTGGGTGCTACAGGTACTGCAGCTACTTTAATGTAATATTCTTGCCAGACTAACTGTAAATCTAGCCAGCAAGGCTGTGGCAGTATGGGAGCTGGCCACAGATTTGGCTTTGAATGAATCAATATGCCTGCATCACATAGTATGTTGCCATACTGATTTTAGTTGAGGTACCAGAAGCATGTGTTTGTGCTAGAGCAGCGCTCCTCTCCTGCTAATATAGCCTGTTACTAAGTTGATGCCATGGTTTCCATTTCTTCTGGCTTCTGGACAAAATTTTCAGAAACTAGTTTCTGGGAATATTTGCAGGAAATAACTATGCTCTTTGATAAGTGTCTGTACTGATCCAGCAGGATGCTGCACCAGTATGGCTAGTCATCTTCTGATAACCAGCATAGTTTAGTCAACATCAACTTCTGTATCTGAAACATGCTGAAATACACACCTTGCAGTACAAACAGCAGAATCCTAAGGCTTTCCACACATAGCCTTTTATTTGTCAAATATAGAGAACACCTAGGTACTTTAGTTGGGAGGTATTAAAGAGTTGGAATCTGGCTGGATGAGCTAGTTCATAGCAGAAGATAAATGTGTTTAATATAATCAGGTCTTTTCTGTATATTTGGAACATGACATAGTGTAAATTATTCTCATCACAAAGTTGACGTGTATAGTCTTCCCTGTGCCCTGCCATATTAGCTTTACAGAAATCCACTAGATTGGTGTTAGAGATGGGCTATGAATTCTCTCTAGGTCATTATGAACCAAAGTTGTTGTAGTAATTCCTCTGTGGAAGTCAGTTTGTCCTACTCAAGAGTCTTATATGGAAGAGACATGCCAACAAATTGGATGTTTTGTTGGTATGTGAAAATGGTGTTTACTCTTCAATATAGGAAACATTATTTTTTCTTGATTAGTTTTCTGGCTACCTGTACATATTTTTGTGAGGGTTTATTTGTTTTATATAATTTTCAGTGCTTTAGAAATTCAGCGTGATACTTGTATAATGGTAATAAGAAGGATACACTTAGGTCTGAGTGTAATATTTGGGGCAGAATTGGGTTCAAAAGAAGCAACAGAAGACTGCTTTTTAAATAAAAAGTTCCTTGAGATTTCCAAGAATGCTAAGTTGTTGGTTTTTTTACTTTATTTTCAGCAATATTTTGAGAATGCAAATAATACATTAAGTTTTATTTAAATGGTTATAATGTTAACCTTTGGCTTGTTATTTTATACCTTGTAACTGACTCGGGGAATAGTGTAGAACACCCAATCTGGAAGAGAGAAAGTTGAAAAAGAACTTTTGTATGTAATTTGTTACAAACATTGTCTGTCTTTCCAGCATGCTGGATTTTTTCCCCATGTTATCTTTCCACTGTTGGTAATTGCAGAAGATTAAAGTTTCCTTCTTACCAACTGGCCTGCTTGATTCTACAGTGAAATTAAGAAACCAAGATACTTTTTTTTTTTTTCAAAAATTGCTTGTTCAAATACAGTTCTGAGGAGAGAAACAGAGATTCAGTGCACAGAATGGAGTCAGAAAAATATTCACGATTGCTATGGATGACAGTCTTTCCAACAAAAACTTCTAAGGGAGTTTCCCAATTGTATGTTTCTCTCTTATTTAGACCAATGCCACATACATGAAGTTTCCTGATTTCATACTTGTAAACTTTAGAGATGTAGGTTATGTGTGTGTTCATGAGCACTCAGAAATAAAAATCTTCAATATTTTTGAATGGTTTGTTAAAAATATTTGGCCCATTCACTGGGAACTTGTTTCCTTCATATTTGATACTTCGCCTGAGCTATTTATCCTAGTTTCTTTTGTATAGTCACTGGGGAAAAAAAAAAAAAAGGTAGTCTGAAACATGATTCCTAAAGAAAGCATCTTTAGGATGTGAGGTGTCATGTACTTAAAGCATGTATTCCTCTAGAAGCTTCAAAGGGCAGCTAAGGTGATCAGCACGTGTATTTGAAGAATATCTCACTGCTGCCTTCAGCTGACTAATCTGGTCCCACACACCACTAGCATTCTCGTACATTATCTGTACCAAGAATATTAAAAGACTGACATTGAAGTAAATTGCCTTCAGAGTCAGAGCTACAGTAAATGGATGAGGCAAATTAAGAAAGCATTCTGCAGATAGTTAAGATTTATACAGCTGATAAATCATTTTAATATCAAATACATGGAAATGGAACATTCATGTCCAGTTCCTAGCTTGTCTAAGGTCAGACTAAACAGTAGCAACTTCTTATTGAATTGACCTTTGGTGTCTTTGTTTTAAAAGCAAGCTAAAGCAACTGTAAATTTGCAAAGGTGAGGTATATTTTTTTCCTGAATTGAAGTTGCTATTTCAAGGTGTAGCTGTTAGAATGATAGCATAGCTTGTTTCTATATGGTGGGGTTTTTGTTAGTTTATCTTAATATTTACTTGCAAGCTCTCCTGTTTGTGTTCTATGATTTTTGTGCATAGAGGTAGTTACATACTGATAATTACATGTGGATTCCCATGTGATTCCTGACTTACCCTTTCACTTTCACTGAGAAGTGCTTCCTTCCACACCTCCTCAGAGGCCTGTGCCAAGTGCATGTTTATGAGGTCGTGTTTTAACTCCAAAAGACTGACATTTGCTAGAAACAAGTGAGATCCCATGTGTGGATTTCTGTGACGTAAGCGCCAAGGGAGCCAAGCTTCTGCCATGAACCACCCCGAGCAGCAGGTACCCCCAGGAACGCCACTTCAGACAGCGTGCTGAGCTCCACCACGGTGAGAAGTGGTTGTACATGAGGGTAATGTGAGCATGTGTCGTTAGTCTTACGTGGGGGAAGAAGATGGGCTGTTCTCCCCAGCGGATCTGGTGCTTTAAGGAGAAGGGACCCTTAGCAAGCCCCAAAGAGGAGATGCGTGGGCTACTGAGCACCTGTGTTCAGTGGTGATACAGATCGAGTGGGCTTGTCAAAATAAGTATTTTTGTTAGGAAGAAATCCTGACAGATCGTGAAAGCAGTAGCTTGTGATTCCTGAGCCGAACTGTTTTTTAATGCAGTGTTAATCGTTCAGATTTAGATGCCGATGGTATGTTCCAAGTTATTTTCAGCTGAGCAAGAAGTAAATACATTTGTAAGGGAGCCATGTCATAAACCTGCATTTTGCTGCCTTTGAGTGTAACTTTAATTGTGGTAAAGGTGTTTTTTTGTCTAATAAGTCTTTGATTCAGGGTTCTGCTACAAGCTAGGAGGAAAATCTTAATGGCTGTGGTAGATGTTATTCCCCGTAGGGCAACTGTTCAAAAATCTTGATTCCACACA